CAGAATTCCCCAGCCAGCGAATGCTGGCTGGGGAATTCTGGGAGTTGAAGTCCGGACATCTTCAAGTTGCCAAGGTTGAGAAACACTGCCCTAGAACAATCATGGCGAACCTTTTTGGCACCGAGCGCCCATGCCAGAACGCACATGCACGTATGCACACTGGAATGCCAGAAACCCGAAGACCAGATGGCCAGCACATGCAGCTGGTCTTCGGGTTTCCTACACACACATGTGCGCTGGCCAGCTGGTCTTGGTGCACGCCGTACCACTGGAAACCCAAAGACCAGCAGGCCGGCATGCACATTCCTGTTTTGGGGCCATTTTTCAGACTGTTTTTTGAGCTTTTTTTCCAGGGCTGTTTCAAGCCATTTTTGGCTCGAATAAAGGCCCAAAAACGGCCCAAAAACAATCTGAAAAACGGGCTGGTTTTTGGCCGTTTTCCGACGCTCCAGGAAATACTAGCTGTGTGACGGAAACCAGAAGAGGAGCTGGGGACGGTGCACGTGCCCACAGAGAGGGCTGGCACACAAGCTATAGGTTTGCCATCATAGCCCTAGAACTTCCGTGTTTTCTTCTAGAAGTTAGTAATCTTCTAGCCCAACCCACTTGCTCAAGCAAGAAGCCCATTCAGACAAATGTTGTCAGCCTTTTCTTAAAAACCTCCAGTGTTGGAGCACCCACAACCTCTGGAGGCAAGTTGTTTCATTGATTAATTGTTCTAACTGCTTGGAGTCATGCTACGGATCGCAGACATTTTGCAATCCCTAGTAATGGGTCCATGCAGCATACTTAGCCTAAGATAGAATGAATTTTAGAGAGAATTGTGTTCAGTCCATAACTGTCACCACCATACTTGGGATTAATTTATATGCTCAACATGGTTTCTCGAGCAATTTCAACCAAACTTGGTACACAGATGGCTTACTCTCTGGTGAAAAATATTGTGAGAGTAACACCCCTNGGTAGGAACCCACCTCTGGGCCACGCCCACCCAACAACCTGGCAGAGAACTCCTTGCTAAAGTTTTTGAAGCCCACCCCTGGAAATACTTGCCAATGTTTAGGACCGGAAACCACAAGAGAGCAGCCAGACTGAATTTGACTTTCGTTTCAGGTGCACGAACAAACTAAAGCCAATAATCCTTTCCAAAGTAAGAAATGTCCCAAGTTATTGGAACCGTCTGTGCTCCACACAGTTCAGCAGATTCCAGGAGTTGGAAAGACAAAGGCACTTCTTCTTCTGGAAAACTTTGGAAATATCCATCGGCTTTGCAATGCCTCTCTCCAGGAGCTCGAAGGAGTAGTTGGTCGGAATCTAGCTCAACAAATCCACGCATTCTTCGCCCAGGCAAAATAATCTGGGTTTTTCAGCATCAGAGATAAAGGTGTGTTTTTGTTTTTTTTGAAATGCTGGAATTTTTCCACGATCATATTTCAGGTTGTTGGAAACACAAGAGACAACCTTAACCTTCCTTTCCATCTGGAGGAGCAAATAAATCGGACAATTATTTTTAAGCTCCGAATTTGCTCCCTCTGGGCATGCTTTTGACTTTCAACCGCATACAGCTGGACACGGTTTCCCCTTTTATGAATAGCATTGACCGCTTTTTCCTGGAGAATTAGCTGCAGGGCCAACATCCTCTTTGTCTTCCTTTAAAATAGTTCTTGTTCATTTATTATTAAATTTGTTATTTATTTATTATAGGGACGCGGTGGCTAAGACGCTGAGCTGGTCGATCAGAAAGGTTGGCAGTTTGGCGATTCGAATACCTAGTGCCATGTAATGGACTGAGCTCCTGTTTTTTTGTCCCAGCTTCTGCCAACCTGGCAGTTCGAAAGCATATAAAAAATGCAAGTAGAAAAATAGGGACCACCTTTGGTAAGAAGGTAACAGTGTTCCGTGTGCCTTTGGCCTTTAGTCATGCTGGCCACATGACCACGGAGACATCTTCGGGCAGCGCTGGCTGTTTGGCTTTGAAACACGGATGAGCACCGTTCCCTAGAGTCCGGAATGACTAGCACATATGCGCGAGGGGAACCTTTAACGTTAAGTACATTCTTCTTCTTTATGTCAATCTCAGCTGCTCCTTAAAGAAACCGTCAAATAAGTCATGATTTCGTCTCTGTTCGTTACAACTGTTGGAAAAAATAGGGAGGCTCTGAGTTACTTTTTAAGCTGAAAAAAGAGCAGGTTGTCCCAATGTAAATAAATTTTACATTTGTTCTGTGAACGGTCCCTGTTGTCCTATTGGCTTTGGATCAGTGGTGGGATTCAGCCAGTTCGCACCTATTCGGGAGAACCGGTTGGTAACTTTCTAAGTAGTTCAGAGAACTGGT